CACCGGCCACCCATCGGCACTCTGTTTGTGCCGACCGGAAATTTATTGTGCCGACCGGCCATTTATTGTGCCGACCGGCCATTTATTGTGCCGACCGGCAATTTATTGTGCTGACTGGCCATTTTTGCTAGCCGACGACCTTCCAGAGCATTCTACAGATTGAGTGTATGCCAACTGTGCCAGCTGGAGGGCACAGACTAGATCCTCCATACACGTGTATGGAGGATATGCACCCTTGTTTAGCTTCCTCAAGAAGCTTTACACTTTGTTTTGCCTATAAAGGAAGCTCTCCTCTTCCTTATACCAGGTTAGAAGAAAAAACCAGCTGAGGCACCATTATACATACAACCCTATATCTATACATTCAACCCTCTCTTCCAAGCTCCAAAGTTTATTATCCTTGGCCATTTACACACCAAGCCATAGCACAATACCTCCAACGCCCATTCCAGCAGCTTGAGGCTGTCCTCTAGAGGTTAAAAGCTCCCAAACTCAGTCCAAAGGTTGCTAAAGATTGGTTCTACAAGGGTGAGTCCCACTTTCCCTCTTTTGTGCATTTTCTTGGCCCATATCTTAGCTCCTTGTGGTTACATCTTTGGGCTCCGACCCAAACTTCAAATCATCATATTTTGAGGTCCTCTTCATGTTTGATTGAGGACCTCTTGCTGTTTGAGGACAGTAGCTTGCACTTGCTTCAATATCCTCCTTGAATGCCATAATCTTGCATAGAATTTTTGGCTTGCGTGTGATCTGTTTTAGAGCCTAATGTAAACTGAAAATAGGCTTATTTTGAGCCCCTCTTCAACATTCTACTCTGTTCTGTCATGAAAATGACACTACCAGCACAAAATGGAGTGGCCAGTCAGCCTTGGAAAGTGGTTGGCCAGATAGAAGGGTGGCCGGCCGGCCACTGTTTTTGGGTACTGCCCTGTTGTAACAGAATGGAAACAGAGCAAAAATATAGTGTTTCCAGGGGATGTTTGTCCTCTCTACCTCTCCCTATCATGAAACTGATCAAGGGAGGAGTAGACTCGATAAATAAACCATCAATTATCACAAAGTTTTTGCGTGATGATCTATGCATCAGTAGGACAAAGGTTCAATAAATGAAATGAAAGACTAACAACACCTCTTCCTTATCGTGGAGTTATCTCAAAGGAAGTGGTAGACATTGCTTCTTGAATCATTAACATCACCAAAGAGTATATAATGATTCGAGATGCAATATGTTCAATATAACGTCCGATTGAACCTGACTTAATTTTATTATCTTTTTTACCTCTTTTACTCCAATTTTATTAGCTTTTTTAACATTACCTTTCCATTACTTGATCACTTTTTTCCAAAAGTGAGAGTTACATCCACTTAAGTGCAAAAGAAATAAAGGGTATCAATATCAACTTAACCCGAGAAATGAGCCTTTCAAGCCCTTTTCTGCAGGGGAAATTACAAAGTAGGGGTCAGACTTATTTCTGAGCAGTAGGGGATTTGAAGTCAAAGCCAAAAGAGGGCGATAATGACTCTAAATCTAAACCCAATAATAAGCTATAATGAGACCTTCCTTTGTAATTTCCAAGAGCTTAACTAGAAAGTTAATCCCTTAGAAGCAATTCATCAGCGATAAGCAGAAGTGATCGAACAAAGGATTGTGCTTGTCATGAGAGAGATGTAATGTCTTATTAATGAACCTCCAAAGAGATTAAACCATTAAGTATGAAAGGTCTCTTTCTCATGCTTAAACAACAATCTTTTGCTAAACTCAACTCTTTAATCAAAATAAGCAAAGAATGGAGAGAGGTTGCAGAGATGATTATGCAAAAGTGATTATTAAAGTGAGACTCTTTACATGAAAAAAAAAGTATTAGAAAGCTATCAACTCAAATAGATTGGTGTCTAAGGCCTAAATCCCCAAATCTGTGAGGACTTACAAAACACAAGCATATTATTCAAAGCATAAACCAAATAAACACATTAAAATAATCCCAAAACTCACAAAATAGTGCTGAAACATTAGTTTGAAAAGCTAGGAAAAGTGAGTAAAATAAGAGAAAGCAAAGCTAGTAAGCAAGCCTAAGGAATGGTGGCTAACCGCTCCACTTTTTGAACCTTAAAATCACATGTTTTAGCCTCTAAAAACTCTGAAAATCAGTAGCTAAAAGTTTAGAAACAAGTGGTGAAAAACAAGGATTGAAGTTACGGAATAGGGTTCAAGAAAGGGTGGTTAACACCTCCACCTTTGGTAGCTTTTTAATCTCAAGTTTCAACACTTGAAAACAGTCCAAAAACAATATATAAAAGAGGAGAAAAGAGTAGTGCAAGTAAGGGAGAAGATGGCAAAAATTATATCTCTTGAAAAGAGGATGTTCTTTGGTTCACAAACCACAAAGTGTTCACTCTCAAGGGTTGAAATTTTAGCTCAATAATGTCAGCAAGAAACCTCAAAATATTGGTTTAGGAAATGTATGTATAGTGTATGTATATTGCAAGATA